CTCAGTATCAACGATTTCTCCAAATTCCTCTTCACATCATCACAATTCACATACACCATATCATCTCCAGTTGTACTATTCTACTCATTTGTCTAACCATTAAATATACTTAATCCCACATCAACGATTTCCTATCGTCTTCCATCATCTATGACCCAATCGTGCTGAGTATGTGAGGCTTTCAACTGTATCTTGCCTTAGTTCTGTGTTTGCTGTGATAACGATTCTCTGAACGTCATGTTCATTAGATGACACCTACACGATATCGTCCACATTGACTGGATGTTTCACATTCTACTGACTTCTTCGTGTTTGTTGTCTTTTCCGATGGAGATTGTGGACGTGCTGTTAGATTCGATCACTATTGTCGTCATGTCGATAACGTCGATGTGTTTCTATAAAGGTACGAACTGACGGTTTTCCTTACGCGCTGTTCGTGTGATGGCAAGTTTAATCTTCCCTTATGATCACCGAGCAAATCAAATCATAGTCGAATGAACCTTTCTCTTCTAGATCGTAAAAAGCGTTCGACGATTTTCTGTTAACTTTGTAGAGTTAATCATCATGAGACGTGTTTCACTTCGTTGCAATCGGTTCCAATCAAGATCGGAATAGTGAAGATAGTTGTTTATGCGTATGCGTATTTTACATAGCCACTTTTCTACTTATTCAGCAAAACATACTGAATTTACGTGATAATGTTTGTTTACAATTTAGGCTGGTTTGATGGCGTCTTAATCCGACCTGTTGGTCACTTTCGCACCCACCCATGGTGTAGTGAGTTGCAAGTAGTTTCTAGTCTAATTCAGTTTCACTCATATTATAAGTTGATGTGTTCTATTTCTACATGACAATAGTGGAATGGTCAAGTTTTCAGGCAACACACGATGGAAATACTGTAAATAGGCGAATCGTTGTTTACGAGATTCAGCGAGTGGGTTGCTGGTCGGCAACCCGAGACACTTCAGCCTACATATCTCCTCTTTCTAAGTATTGACCTTAACTATCACAATGTGCATTTGACCAGCAAGGACATCTTAAACAATTCAAATGAAATGAAATATTTCGAAACTTCTACATCGTAAGTGTGGGTAAGGTGAAAGAAATAAAATGGTCGGTCGAATCACACAGGTCAAGATAAATAAATTCAACAATCATATGTTAGGAGGCGGAACTACTTCGCTCGCACGACATAAAATAAACAAACACTTCCTCATTCAATGAACACAAACAGATTGACATAGCGATAGTGTGGAGAAAAGTTTGTAGAAAAAATCGGAAATGAAAAATTCCTACAACATAATATAGTCGACTACTGACGAGACGAGTCACATCATTTGTTCAATCTATGAGCTAGTAAGAGCAAAAGACCAAAACGGGTCGTTTGAATGCAAGTACTCGTCAGAAATGTAACGGAACCGCTGGACAACGATTGATTACTAAGATCACAGCAACGTACAGTACACAAAGAAAATATCAACAATTCAAACTTCATCAGTAATTGAGAGTTGATTATCAAGGTAACTGAATACCAAGTTCAGAGAAATGAAAATGTTCGGTTGACTGTGATTCGGTTTGTTCATCTGTGATCATACTGTGGTAGATTTGCCTGGTTAATCCATCACCTTTGTAACCGTTATCATACACATTCCAACAATGTTTGAAATCATAATGCAATAAGAAGCGGCAACTACAGATTATCAGCGGATAGCACGTATATCAGAGCAATAAGCACATCGAGCGAAATTGAACCAAGGAGGCGAACGCGTGTGTGCGAGCGAATACAGAGGCAAATTTACAGTCAAATCGAATCAGAGCACAGCAACGCTAGACAGAGCCTAATAATAGCATTCGCGTATACACATACATGGGGAAGAGAATGGATCATCGTGCGATATTCAAGCTATTGGGATTGTCGCTAGAGTCTGTCATGTGATCAAGCGTACTCAATTATACAGATATGGTAGTGATCATAATGGTACAAAGAAATATGAGAATTGTTACTATTCGAATAACGTTGTCAGTTAAGCAAGTTAATAAAAAGCTCAAGCGAAATTGACCCTAATCGAAATTGGTTGTAGGATAGTTGCCATAATAACTCCACACTTCCAACAAAGATATGTGCGAAATATCTGTGTTGCACTAAGAACAGCAGACTGAATGGAGTAATTACAACCGTTTGAAGGTATCTGCTTATATATCATTGGAATGAAACTGATTTGTCTATTACCATTTACTGTGTATCTGGCTTCAAGCTCGTCCGTGAGCTTATACAAAATACTGGTGAAATATAAAATGAATATGGTAACATGTGGGAAAACTTATACATATAAGCTAAAGGTATACAAGATACGCCGAGTTTAACAGTGTATAACAAGAGCTTAATAACTCGTCCAAACAATCGGGACGATATTGTGTAGGTGTCATCTGATGAACATGACGTTCAGAGAATCGTTATCACAGCAAACACAGAATTAAGGCAAGACACAGTTGAAAGCCTCACATAATAATAATAATAATAATAATAATAATTTATTCTCAAATAACAGTTTGTTACATGAGGCATGCCAGTTTACAGGCAAGATCAAATTGATACAAATGATACAATATACACTGTGATAAATTACATAGCTGGGTTGATAATTTATAAGATATGAATGTCGATGGTTTAAATCAGTACCACAGTTGGCGCGCTTCATGAATGTTGCGTTGCGAATGTGCGGGCACAGTATGCTTGTTAGTTTACGGGTTTTCGCGCACGTGTAACGTATTGTCGTGGATTTTATGTGTCGTTATTTATCAGCTATTAACAGCCTTTTTTCCGTCATACATGACTTTTCGTAATCTTTGTGATTGGAAGATAGTTTTTGTTTCAATTTATAAGCAGTTTGACGTATTTCGTGCTCACCACCTAAGTAAATATGTAGCTGGCGTAATATGGTTTTTTTTTAACAATACTAAGTCAAAGAAGTCAAATCACCATTTTTCTAGTCAAAAATAGATTACAGATTGAGTTTTCATGAAAATAAGCCGTAAAAAGAATTATATATGGTTCACCTCCTTGATTATGGTGACGGCAAACACAGATGTTGGTAGTCGTTTATAAAATGTAATTAGAAAGAAGTAAGCGTTAAGGTAACTATGAATATTATATAAATTGTTTGTATTTAGCCATAAAAGGTTATTTGGACTATAGGTAGCATTGTTTTGTACTGAAGTGACATATTACTGTGTAAGGTATCAGAGAAAAATTATGTGAGTAACAATAGACGTTGATAGTCTTTTTTACCGGTTTTCTGAACTTATACAGAAATAGTGTGTAACACCACATTAAATATGCACGAAATCTTCATAAGTAAATCGATGTGTGTCTCTTCTGAGCATGGTGACTAAACCATGTCTTACTTAATACTGACTTATGATGTGTCTGTTAGAGGGTTGACGAATAATTCTCTGTAAAGGAAATGCACAATCGCAGAAGAAAATGTGAACAAAGTTATGATGCATATTGTCGAGTAATATCTAAATGGTGCTTACCAATTTCTCCTGCTAATACCAGATATATAGACGAAATACTACAAGGGTTAGACACTGAAGAAATTTCCATTGCTTGTTAAGACACAAACTTAAATCAAAAAACAACTATTAATGAGTTATTTCATGAATTCCTACTGCATTACAGACTGACTCGTCCAAAGTAATTCATGCAGACAACGTGACGAAAAGTGAATGAGCAATGGAAGCAGAATCACAAGTTCCTTGTATTCATATCGCCTTTATGCCACATTATTGAATTACATTTTATTCATAAATCCGACCACGCTTCTATGTTGTGACGAACCTGATTTCAGTAATTTTTAAATAACACTGATTTGTGTGTTGTAAAGATTACCTATTAATTTTTAATATAGGAAATAGAAATCTCTAATGATTAGCGCTGTCTGCAAATAAGAGACTTATAAGTACATTCTGTAACCTGCTATTTGATTGACTTATTAAATGTGATATTGATAAGTAGGTCTAATTCTTTATTTCACGACTGATTTGTTTGTTTTTCAGAATTGTATGAATCAAATGAAGTCGTCAAAGCTTTGTGATGATGTTTACGCCGGTCTACAACTTATAGAATTTGTGATTATGGAAGACCATATTAAAATCATTTTTATTCAACAAATGAATTAGTGAAATATAAATATAGCAACTACACTTAGTGTCTTACGTTATAAACCATGTCAGTATTTATTAATAGTCGATATGACGCTAGAACAAATATAGATAGAGAATAATATGAACTCCTTATAATCCATGGAATGAACAAGTAATAAGAATGATTATGTAATAATTCATTTCACTTTTAAAATTTAGTTACGCATTTTTTCCATCACCCTGTCACTTAATCCTCTGTAATTACGTGACCTCTGCAAATTGTAATCAATTATGACGTAACTCAAGTTTTCAGTTCTTAAATCCACGGATCATTTACAAGCTATAAGATTTTCACACCACTTATCTGTCTGTGAACTCCAGTCAACTATTATGCCACCCATTCTTAATGTGTTATTGACTGTAAAAACAAATGACCTTTGACCTTACACTGCATATATATATATATATATATATATATGTATATATATATTCACTATTGATAACCTGCGTCATTTCATTTATTCATATTCAGGTATGTCAACTGTTTCCCACATCACTGTTAAATCCTATTGCATATTTAGTTGTAATGAATGCATACCACTGTTAATCAACATTTCTCCTGGTTTTATTTTGATTCATAAGCGGAATTAATCACATGAACTTAAAATGTACATAGGTACTGATACGATTTTAATGATAAACGTAATCCCACGAAGGTGAATATGATATGTGGGTGCCTAATCTGCAAAACTGTACGTCGATGTAGGGTTTCTTAATCAATCTTAATTATTACAAACCGTTACACATGAACATCATTGCTATTCATTCCCATAAAAGTAGTAATAAGATGAAAATTGAAATTATGAAAGTTTATTGAAAAATCATTGCTGCTAAAGCAGAAAATCAAGTTTACAAGTTGGTATTAAGAATTCTTAAGTAATAATTGTCAACTTTCTTCTCAACTTCTGTTGCGAAGCGTTCACCATACTTCTCAATGATGCGATGTTTATGGATTCTTTGGCTGCGTTGAATACTTACATACTCTTCACTCCGTCGTGGTAATGCAGTTAATGTATAATTTTGGAAGTTCTGGGTATTGTGTAACTTCCATCTGCTACAATACCTAAGAAGTTGATGAGCTATGCAGTTAGTATTTCATTATTGATATAGCTTACCTGTAAGATTTCTTCTTTTAACGTAGGCAAGTAGCATGTGACGGCAGGGATATCGACACATCATAAACATGCTACAATTGCATCGACAAATGCTTATATCGACTTCATAATGTTGTCCACGGTCAACCATGAACAACCAGTCGCCGCTTTCATATTCTACGTAGACAAAACGCATTTGTTTAAGCTCGTATAACACTTTAGATCTTGCGAATGGCGTCAAAATATTTAGCAAGGGTATTAAACGTTGTGGAGCATTATATTTATAATATCTTCCGGCTATCAATTGATCTTCGACACTTCTTCTAGTTGACATCATTTCACTCCATTTTAAAGCCTTGTACATACATTTGTACAGACTGTCACTTTTTCGTACATATCGTTTTACTTGCCGATTTAGCGATTCAACACGATTATTCGTGCTGTTACCCAATGTTAAAACATCACCGTAAAAGGCACGGGCCCACATTGTCTTACGTGCCATCCAATGCACACGACTTCTGGATATTTCCTATAGAGTTGTATTTGGTTATAACTACTGAAACATATTCTCGTCGCATATCCATTTTCTAAATGCTCCCTCACTTCTCCTTTTTGTCTAAGCATATCCATTACTTGCTTCCGAGTACAACAACCTGAAATATATTTATATACACTTACCAGTGGAGAGTGTAGCTTTCATAGCTTTGACATCGGCAGCAGTTACTTGCTTACCAGTTCTCTCCTTAATACTTTCGATAACTTCGTCTGCTGACTCACAGTGAAGTATTACGGGCTTCAAGTTCTCTTTTTCTTCCGACGATAATCTCCTTGTCCATGGATCACATACCATCCATGAACTACTACATGGATGATTGTGTATCATCTTGTAGGATTTGATGACATATCCTTGCTCTTCTAGTCTTACACGGAATTTAGATTGACAATTACGGAATTTAGACCTTAAACATAAGATATTAGTTAAAGATCTTACGATTTTTGCCTCACTTTCAAACCTTCCGATTTCCGTTTGTGACCAAACGTACAATTAAACGATACAAACAGGTATCTGAACCTGACATCCTTCAGCAATCTGCTTTCTGTGTGGATGTAACGAGTATAAGTAGTCTGAGAAGCGATAAAATTATAGTTCCATACTTTTTGGAACTCTTTTAAGGCACTTTCAAAATCATCCCACAACACGAAACGCTTGTTCAGTATCATACTTCGAAAGGCATCGGTTAGGTCGACTGAAATGTCACTTGAGGATGAAGCACTAAAAACAGACATGACTAATTATTAAACAGTTATTCCTTGCAACAATAATAACCCAAGGAAATACTACAAATACTTGAGATTTACCTGTGACTTGACATTTCGTTTAGCTTTACTACAATTGTTGGGATCAAAGATCAAATTACAAAGCAACAACAGAGCCAAAGTGCACACTACAAAACAGAGAACGCTAAATTAATGGTTTTGCTATTTATTTCGTGCTTTTTATGTAGCATAGGATGACTTATATATGAAAAAACTTGATACTCATGCAAACCAACCAACCCACGGCAATTGAAATACGGAATGACCGCCTCTAATCAAGCCGTTCAAGGTCGCTGAAACGAAAGGGCGGTCACATTTCAAAAGGACCTAACGTTTAAACCGTGCCGAATGTGCGACTGATGGTCAAGGATAGGTCCATTGAAGGTATGGGCTTCTAAAAATCGCAACCTTGTTTCCTTCTGGGATATCCAAGGCTTTAAGGATGGTGCAGGATGAAGTCACCAGTTCCATATCTCAAGGGGGGCTGAAAGAGGGAGCAAGTAAAAGAAAACACGAGAGGCAGAGTAGCCAATATTCATGAAGGAATGCTTAAGGTATGATTACTCAGTCTAATTTTCCTTTATTAACGTATATGTTAAGAAAGAGCATTTTAATAGGTTAAAGAAAATAGGTGTTGACAAGGTGTGAGTGGACATACAACTGACAAATGGGGGCGATTCGGAAAAGAGCTGAGAGTATAAGATTATGTGTGATTATAAAATAAAATATAGTGCTAGAAACAGTATTGTGATATACATTTGACTGTCTTCCCTTTAATATCGAAGCTGTTAGAGCCCCTTTCGTTTTTTTTTAAAAATATTTTTCCCCAGTTATTATAGGGTCTTGATTAGGCTTCGTATATTAGCGAATTGTCTAGTTTGCTTGTAATAGGATTTCTGGGTAGGAAGTGAAACCAATTCAACGTTCGTAACACGACTTAAAGAGGTATTTTGCGTGAATAGATCAGCTTCAATACCATAAGTTCGTGGCATCCCACATACTCAGCATGATCAGGTCATAGATGATGGAAGACGATAGGAAATCGTTGATGTGGGATTAAGTATATTTAATGGTTAGACAAATGAGTAGAATAGTACAACTGGAGATGATATGGTGTATGTGAATTGTGATGATGTGAAGAGGAATTTGGAGAAATCGTTGATACTGAGATATGAGAATTGTTCTGAGTCAAATGTAGATCCATCTCGGTTCAATGTTTCAATAGTACCAATAGTACTGTCCAATGTCTGGACGAGGAACTCCTGGATACCAGTGTTGACCAACATTTCGGTTTCTCATTTCGAGATAGCGCTCAGGTGTACAATTTGCAGGATTGGGGTTGTCAATATTATGGTTTTCAGGACGCAGTTGTGAGTTTGAAGAATCTAAATTTCTGGCATGCTCAAAGTTGAATTTATCATCTTCGTCATCGATGAAAACTATATTGGGTTTGGAGCCGTCCACACCTACAGAACAAAAAATAATCATATTATTAGAGAAACGCTGAGGAATGCAGTCTGTAGTCACTCGGCTTAATCGAACTCTATCTGTATGTGAGTGTGCACAATGGAACACAATTTCAATCACTGTTCAACCGCACACTTGTTTACTGCAGCTCTGTCCAGTGGTCAGTCGACTCAATGAACAGACGACTGTTGATAATATCCGATCATCCAAGTGGAACCGAAGCAATCTGAAACAGTAGGTCATTAGAGTAACCACAATCAACTGCTAATGCTGCAAAACACTTTGTCTCAGTGAACATACGAATTCACAACCACACATTGGATACTAGTCGCTCTTAACGAGTACCTTCGTCTTGTTATCCGACTCTAGAAACGTCAATCACTCGGTCTCATTGGACATGTTCAGATACTAGGATATAACAACATATGGATAAATTGAGACTGACGAGTTCACTGGTCTTGTGCTTACCATCACGACTGTCGGTGAAACACACACACACGTACCTTGATTATATTGAACGGCAGAGTTGAATGGCATTGGTTTGGTCAGTAGTTGTTCGAAGAGGAAGACATTGAGTAGTAGTAGTAAGAAGACGAGTCTCATGACAGTTCTGTAAGAAGAAGAAGAAGAAGAATGCAGATTAGTGAGCGACAGTTGTGTGTTGCGTGATTGTCGCGAGTCAACTGGATGCCACGTGTGAAGTGAGATGTTGTGTGTTGTTGTGTTGTGTAGTGGAGTGTGCTGTAGTGTGGTGATGTGCGGAGTAGTGTTGTGTTTTGATATGGATACACTGCGACTCAGTGCAATTCCATGACTTACTTCACTCACCAATCGTTGTTCACTCAACCACTTCAATCAGAATACATGGTGTTTCACAATTATTTATATGGTGAGAGATATTCGGAACATGGAGGATTACAGTTGAAAGTCACGTGACACAATCACTGAAACGGATGTTCATGAACACTGAAACAGTCACGTTGCGCACGTGTTCCACTGTGCTCCAGTGACACGCGAATGTGACGATTTGCAGCTGTTCATGCTGAACGTGAGTAGGTTGTGATGAATAAATCCATGTTTCATGCCAATCAGCAATGATCACATGTACAATGTGTGGATGAATTGATTTGGAGATGGTTATGAGAGATGAGTTTGAACACGTGAAGTGTTCCATACTTGAGAATCAACTGGTGAATGTGATGTTACTGATTACTTCGGAGTGATGATCTGTTATTCGGAATTGTGTTGCATGTGCGTGCCGAGTACCTCCACTTGTGTCCATCACCGTTTCACAATGTTTCTTCGTTCTTGTTTAGTGAATCGGTATCCAGTACGAATCACATGTTATGTGACCCACAATTCTATCAAATTATTCCGGGTGAAGATCACATCTTTGCATTTCTAGTTGTGATTGTAAGTGTATTCTGCTGTCATTCGATTATCCACCTTTTCATTCACTCATTTTTCAAATGATGGTTGCTGAAATGTGCATAATGTCTAGTCTGTCGACCGTCATGAGCACACTTCCCTCATTCGATCACATTTTTGAAAACCTTTTATCATGCGGTAATTAACTGAAATTCAACGCGTGTTTGTTCGAGACGAGACTGCGTGTTGTTATACAACTGACAATAAATCTATAACATCATCACATATATGCTTGATCTCTGTTTTGCAGTGTGTTTATTTGTGTTTGACTGAATTTTCAACCAATCAATCAAATCGACATCGTGATCTATAACTTCAGTGTAATCCGACACAATGGGAGATGGCAAAAAAGTGAAAATGCAACAAAGAAGTACAGAGTTGTTCAAATCACTGAACAACATCTTAGTTAACTGATCGAATCTCACCATCCTCGAAATACTATTCATTAAGCAATTATTAGTGTTGGTGCCACATACGACGCATTATGATAGTCTCCCTGTCCTGCGCTTATGATAACTGGAAGCATTCAAATTTATTTTCAACTTAAATTCTCCAAAATAGTTCAATTCAATATAGATGCAATATCGTCCACATTGACTGGATGTTTCTCATGCTACTGATTTTCTCGTATTCGTCGTCTTGTCTGATAGCGATTGCACACATTATTATTATTATTATTATTAATGGCTTAATTCAATATTATATTTTGTTACAATATAGAATTCTCAGCACAGGGTATTTCTACAAGTTACTTACTGAAAAAAAAAACGAACAAATAGGCAGTAGTAAATACAAAAAGAAATTTTTTTTAAAAAAAAAGAAGTTTTTTTTAAAATAAATTTTAATAAAAGACAAAAAAAACTGTGCAAACTTTTTAAAATTAAAGACATGTTAAGAATGTAAATTATTAACTAGGTTATTTCTAACAACCTGTTCGTCACATAGTATATTTGCTAGGTAAGGTATTATAGAACTTTTATACTTTTCCTTACGTGCATGGATTTTAATGTAATTACGTCTCGTTCTACCAGAAGATATACAAGGAGAAAGATAAGAGTGAAGGGGATGGCTAGTATCTGATAAAATAACACCTGCCAGGAGTTTGCATGATTTTAAATGTCTATCCACAACCATATTAATTATGGCCTCGAAAGATTCACCACACATCTTGCTAACTGCCTTCAGCACTCTTCGCAATACAGCAAAGTCTTTTCTCAAAAGCCCGGGAAAGAATAATGGAGAACAGTAAAGAATAATAGGTAAAATGCAAGAATTGACAAATTGTAAGAGTAAATGACGAGTAATCCCAAGAGCATGCAATCTCTTTATGTAGTAGGTCAGACGGAAAACCTTCCTCGATAACGATAAAACGTGGGAAGACCAAGACAGATCAGAGGAAAAGGTGACACCAAGATAATTGACCTTCGACACTGAGTTTATGAAAGAGTCTCCGATGGCACAAGCATTATGGGATCTCAAAATGGTGTTTATATTCCGTTCATGTCTCATGCTAAAGTTAACAGCTTGACATTTAGACGGATTAAGTATGAAACCATTACCAACAGACCAACAATCAATACGAGACAAAAACTCATTCATTTCTACGGGATGTAAAGAGGAAGATATAGGCATACATACAGTGAGATCATCCGCATACTTCACAAAAGTGTTTTATGTGGAAGATGGCAGGTCATGCAGAAAAAAAGAGAATAGAAGAGGTGAAAGAACAGCTCCTTGTGGTACACCTTCCTGAGACAGTAGAGACTCCGAACACTTTCCTCCAAACACAGTGTACTGTTCCCTTCCAGAGAGGTAGGAACATAGCCAGTTGGTTATCCAGCTGTCAGTGTTGACGCTGATTAACTTGTTAAGTAAACGTTGTCTTGGTATAGAGTTAAAAGCTGAAGTATAGTCCAGAAAAGCACAACGAACATACTTCTTACCCTTTTCTAAGTTGAACACTATGTTGTGGTGCAGAACTGCAACAGCATCTAAAGTGCTTCTTTTGCGCCTGTATGCAAACTGGTATGGGTCAGTATGCTCTTTTATCGCAAGCTGAAGTGGAAGTATTAATAATTTTTCCATGGTTTTGAGGAAGGGTGAAGTTATTGCAATAGGTCTAAATTTTACATTCTTATCACCAGATGCTTTCTTGGGTACAGGAATTATCTTCATCTTTCTCCACGTTTTCGGTATGAGATTAGATGAGAAGGATCTGTTAAATATAGTTGTGAACGGATGACACAGAACGTCAGCACATTTTTTAAAAAGGATGTTTGGGATACCATCAGGTCCCAAACATCGAGATGAATTAAGCGATCGGAGACATCCTCGTACATCAGTTTCAGTGAAAGTAGGAACACAGCTATTTTTTAAACCCGTGGATAGAGGGAGCATCACATCAGATGACTGACGAACAAAAGACTTATTTAAGTCACTAACATTCAGCTGGTTATCGCTTCTAAACTGTCTGTCGCCTGTAAGTTCTTTAAAGAGTTTCCACATACTTGGAGTGTTTCTGCAAGATAAGAGCTTTTGAGTAAACATGCAATTGAGACGTCTAATCTCTGGCTTTATCAGACCATTTAGCTTACGAACTTCATTAGAGTTCTTCTCCTTGTACATTCTTTCTTTCATCCTTCGTAGTCGTTTTAGTTGTGTAGATGTAAATCGATCAAAACTTACAAAAATGGTTTCAGTGGGACAACAAATATCAAAACAGAATTTAAGGTAACAAGTGATAACATCAGTAGTGTTTTCGAGTGAGTCATCTGTAAATAATTCCCAGTTAGTCGTATGAAACATGCTTTTCAGATTTCGGATATTTTCTTCTGAGTAATTCCTATATTTGACTTTCTTGGTTTGACGTAAGAGTGTACTCTTCTCATGCTTTCCATATACTTTAGGTAGAACACGAATTATACAGTGATCTGAGCTAGACAATGGAGCACGTTTACGAGTCGCATATATACTCACATCATTAATGAAGACGAAGTCTAGATAAGCATCCAAACGGGTAGGAAAATCCACTACATTTTGGTGACCCAGTGACGTAAGGAAGCTACAGTCACATGAATTGAAGTCACCACATACGACTGAAAGTGAATCACTGAAGGCAGTAAGAGCGAACTCAGTGAATTCATCAGCAAAATCAGATAGTGCAGATGATGTGCAATCTGGAGTAACGTAGATATTGGTAACATAAACATATTTGTATTTATTTAGATGTTTTGGACGACAACTTAGAGTTAGACAGTCGATAAAGTCATTTGAAAACTTAAAACACACAAACGAAGATCGACACCAGTTTATGTTTACAAACGTAGCTACACCGCCACCAGACCTCTTTTTATTGTTCGATCGATCCTGACGATAAATTTTAAAATCACGTAGTGATACAAGGCAGTCATCCTGTAAACCATTCAACCAAGATTCTTGAATTGTGATGACACCACAATTACGATACGTATTTTGACTAAGTAGGAATTGCAGATAGTCCACTTTGTTGATTAGTGACCGGCAGTTAGAATTAAGAAGCTCGGGAATCGACATACGATTGATGTTCATTCTCTTTAACGCATATTGCCAACCACCACGATGTCTTTTATAGTACTTTTTCGTAACTTGCGCAGCGAAAGGTCGTAAGCTTTTCATAAAAGCGCCTGAATAGATTATGCGATTAATGGACATAATTATAAATTAAAACAAATAAAAAAACAGATAACTTGTTGAAATAATCAGATGGCAGAAACAGGTAGCCCAGATATTCAAGCAGGCCGCCGTTATGTTGGTAGATTGCAAAATTGTCAAATTCATGTTTTATGACATCAATGTTAGTGGGATTTTCGATTCGCAAATGCCTCACAGTAGTTTCGACTGCAATAATTTAGGGAGTTAAATGAATGATCATTATTATTTGAACACTTATACATTGGTAATACGAGGCGTCCAATGCATATGCACCACAATGATTTTGCTCAGAGATAAAAAATAATTTCCAATGCACGCAGCAAAATGAAGAGAGAAGACGGACAGAAATTGGTGTACGTGAGTGAAATATTATTGATGATAATAAAAATAATAACAATAATAATAGTAATTGTGATGGGAGTAGCAATTTATTTAGCAAAAATATAACCAGTTATTGAGCATAAACGAACGTATCATAATTAGAATTCAAAAT